CTTTCAAATAACAACAGACAAGTCTCCGACAATAACCCAAACGACATTAACGGATGCTATCTTAGGACGGCAAATAATGTTAAACATGAACATGAGTCATTGAGTGGTCTAGCTAAAGCATGTAGAATCGATAATTATTGTTAATATCAAAAGATTGGTTAGAATGTTTTATGAAACAGGTTGTACAATACCACATAACCTAAGCTACAATTAATATAAAATTGAGAATGGAAATGGGGAATATGTCAAAGAGACAACAACCCGACCAAAGAACAGACAACAACCCGACCAAAGAACAGACAACAACCCCACCAAAGAACAGACAACAACCCCACCAAAGAACAGACAACAACCCCACCAAAGAACAGACAACAGCCGAAGGTTGCGGTTTGGCATATCAAACTAAAAAAAAGAAGTTTGGAGTTTGGGTTATTTGTATGCCTAAATGGTAATAAACGAGGTTTCTTATAACCCCCACTCTGATCACAAATTGGAAACTTAGCGCTATATCCTATTAAACTTAATAAAAGTTCCATGTTCCATTACAATCAATTCACTTGTTCATTAAAAAGTTGTAGATTGAAATTGTCTTTAAATTACTTTATGTCTAGCCTTTTTGCGCTAATGTGACATCAATTAAAGCATGACGCAATCAATCAATCTTTAAATAACTTGAATTTAATTCAATGCATTAAGAGTAGTTGCTGAAGGAGCTTAATTTACGGATATGTTCCAGTTGTCACAATCACGTCCTCCTTTTTCACGTTTAAGACATCGCCCAGTACGACTTATCCCCGCAGATGTCCACCTTAAAAAGAGGGGAAAAAATATGTGTAGTTCAAAATAAAGAAGCAAGTGTCCCCAATAAATGAAAATATAATAATAATGGATACAAAAGAATAGAATTAAAAAGTACAACACTTTTTCCTGAAGTTTCATTGAAATCAATTCTAAATAGTTTAGGCTACAAGGGAATACTTAAGATGAATGACTACTGTTCCTTGACCTTAAGATAATAAATTACATATTAGAGCTGTCCCTTTTATGTAACTTTCAAACGATTTAGGACACAAAACCAAGGTCATGTGCGATCAAGCAACAACAGTTTAACACCCAGAGATAAACTACTATCTTTACTGTATGAGGAAGTCATAGATTTATGAAACTTAAATTAGCAACCTTCAATTCAATTAACGTGTAGAAATTCAATTCATTATATGAATTTCAGTTTAAACGAGGAAATTGTTGATGTCTAATATTTTTTAAAGACTTTTATCAACGATGTTCAAAAGAAAAGTATTTATTGACTGATTTATGAGTGACAAAACGAGGATACTATTTTATAATAGAATGCATGTAATATTATATATTTAACATATAAAACATACTATTTTACATAAATACAACACATGTCATTCAAAACATAAAATCTAATATTGCAGTATAGAGTTAATCAAAACAACTAACCATGTTTTTTACGGGAATGTTGTTAATAGAGCCCATAAATTAGATATGATATGAAAATAAAAAGATGTGGTATGATTGCCAATGAGACACCTCTCCACCAGAGACCAATTCGCGAAGTAGCTAGCAACTATAGGTCACAGTACAGCCCTTAACAATGAGCAAAACACATACCACATAGTAAACCATAAAAGGCCCCGAGGTGAAAAATGTAAAACAATTCAAACAGAACGAGAAAACTAGCGGCCAGAATTATGTACAAAACAACAAACGAAAAACAAATATGATATACAGCAACAAACGACAACCAATGACTTAAAGGCTCCTGACTTGGGACATGCACATACAAAATGTGGCGGAGTTGAACATGTTTGCTAGAGCCAAACCATCACCCTAACCTGGGATAGTGGTGTAATAGTACAACATAAGAACAAACTATAAAAATCAGTTGAAAAGGCTTAACTCATTAGATCGATACAAAGCAGAAAAACAAATAAAAAAAAAAACCACACAGATCGAACGTGGCTGAGTATTTAAACACCCCTCTCAACAAAAAAAGACACAAAGTACAGATCTGAAAGTACTCGCTGTTACAGACATTTAGGTCAAAATTAATAACAACTAATATAAAATCATGTATCTAAGACTAGTGCTTAAAGACGATGCATGTAAACATAATGCAATTTATATTAATAAATGTTTTGAACTCATAACACTCATAACATATTACAGATATGTTTATATGTAACCCATTAAGAATATTTGCCTGTCAATATTATGTATAACTGTTAAGTTGCCGCTTTTTTACTTATAAGCTTATGGCTCTGATCTGGCTGTGGTTTAAGATCTTATAATTTAGTTGATTATATTCAAATTTATATATGATTATCAAAATTATCGTGTCAATTATTAAAATAATTGTATAAATTACTTTGCTCTTCATGGGCCATTTAATTGGAATAAAAAATATCTTATCTTATCTTATCTTATCTTAATGATCCTTTGAATAAACCTTTTTTTTTAAAGGTTATCAATTTAACACTATAGTAAGATGTCTTTATCGGTACTAACATTGATTTAGTTTTAAATACATTGAAAGATAACTAAATATGTATGGCTATGCAGTTATGACAACTTTTAGTCATATATCCTGTCAATACTTATATTTTGGCATTACACAAGTGAATGCTTTTTCTCAGATTTTTTATAGCGTCTTTACACTGATTCATTAGATGTGTACTGATTAATATTTTAGTTTGGGAAAACAAGACCATTTTATTAACTGGAATCAACTTTGAACTAGCTTTCAGTAACTGTGAGTACTCTTAGATCGACACCAAGTGTTTTGTGTCTTTTTGTTTTGGTTTTTGTCTGTGCGTAGTGCCGAACTGATGAATCAAGCATTTTCAATCTGATTTTTATAGTTTGTTCTTATGTTGTGCTGTAACGCTACTGTCCCAGGTTTTAGGATTGTTGAGCCGCCTCTACAAACATATTTAACTCCGTCACATTCTTAATGTGCATGTCCCAAGTCAGGCCTGAGCCTGTAATTCAATGGTTGTCGTTGGTCGTTGGTTGTTGTCTGCCACATTTGTTTTTCATTTATTGTTTCTACCTTAGATTAGGCCGCCTGTTTTCTGATTTGAATTGTTTCACATTTTGTCTTGTCGGTGTCTTTTTTTTTTAGCTTACTATACGGTTTAGTCTTTGTTCATTGTTGAAGGCCGTACATTGCTCTATAGTTGTTTACATCCTCGTCATTTGGTATATGGTAGATAACTGTCTTATTGTCATTTGGTATATGGTAGATAACTGTCTTATTGTCTTTTGGTATATGGTAGATAACTGTCTTATTGGCAATCATTCCATACCATATCTCCTTATTTTACAGGGTTGCTGTTGCAGATTACTCAGTAGAAACTCAACACACGTACAGTGCACTTTAGAATTAAGCACTAGAATGGCAAATTTTTTTTCGCATGAAACTAAAATCAGAATTCAAGATTGTTTCTTGAGTACCATGATTTAAAAATATTGCGATATAATGGTTGTGGGCTTTCTCATTAGAACAATAATCGACGTGCACCTTCTTGTTCGACCTGCTAAAATGACCAAAATGTATGATGAATACGATGGTGGTAGTTTTGGAAAGGAAATACTTGGAATTCTCGTACTCTAAGACGGGGAAAAAATCGTATAAAGACATTAAAGGGTAACCATTTACATGCAATGCAGTACCAATGACCAATGTATTGTTAGTTCTTGGTGCAGTTTCAAAAATATCGAAGGTAACGGTATTAGTGTCAATTAGACAACCACCCACCAACCAATTGACAGGATAGTTACTGTAAACCAACTAACTTTTGCGAGCGATTCGTTTTCGCGACTTTCGCTAGTAAAAATATAACGCGAATATGTAAAACTTGGATCTTTCCGTATTAAACTACATCAGGTAAATTTGAAAATCTCACGAGGTGGGCTAGAAATGATTAAACGCGAAATAAAGTATCCTCGAAAATAAGTTGGTTTACATGCAGTAACTATGTACTGGTTACCCCTGGTCTCCAAACAATGAATACAATTATAGTACTCATGATAAGTTTTAAACCCCTTTCATAAGGAAGGTAAAAAAACACTTAGCCTAAAACAAACAAAAAGTTATCCAAGCTCTTTACTTTATACAAAGTATATATATTTTCCCCGCCATCTTACTATCTTACGGAATATACTACGAGGTTAAGCCACATCATTTGATTTTTCTTCCTTGGTTTTGTTGAACAGATATTTTTTTTTTAGATTCGAAAATAATTATTCGTTGAACTGAATAATTATCTGACCCTCCACACGCACTCACACTTAAAAATATAAACGAAATTTTTTAATCGTACGCTTTTTTTGAAATAAAATCATAACCGTTCGCATATTCGTAAGCAGTCTGTTTCTGATCATCTAGAAGACTCAGAACCCAACAATCTTTCAAAGGAGATATTTAAAAAAAAAAACCACACACACACACACGCACTTACATTGCTAAGATCTGTATATATTTTGTGCTACCTGAAAACAAAGAGATAACATGTGAAAGGTAAGACACAAATAGTCATCTTAGATGAAGACTTATACATCCACTTCATTTGGACTTTAAAATAGTGGATAGTTGTCTCATTGGCAATCATACTACATCTCCTTATTTTCAAAAGCTAAATATTTCAAAACTGAAAAATTGGGTGTCCTGGGTGTAGTTGTATAAATCAAATGCATCGAACCCCTGAGCTATAGTTGAAAGATAATTAATAATATTCATATATTCACCAACATGTTTGTCTCTAGCCTGAAGGTATATGACTTTATGACATAAGTAACATCTTATAACTCTCAAATAAGGATATCAATATACATAAGTAATGATACATAAGTAATGATATGTGATTTTATAGTTTTACCTGTACCGCAGTCCCGTTGATTGCTCATGGAAATTCTCAAAATTGACGAATTAAATTATTTTCGCAAGAAGGATATTTACTTTATAAAGAGAACTTTTAACATTGAAGTAGTTAAGCATTTAAGCACACACTTTATACGGTAGTGTGTATATATATATATGCTATACGTATTAAAACAGTTTTTATTGTTTGTACATTTTAAAGGTGAAATAGATTTACCCAACTCCATACTTGGCTGCTCATCGTAAATAGGAAATCGAAAAGTTGATCTGTTCATGTTCTTTTTAAATTTTCACAATTTAAAACCGGTTTAACAGATTGATTTACAGTGATAAGCCATGGGGAAGGAAAAGGAAGCCGAAAAAGCAGTTGATGAGAAGGAATATGGCTCAAATCTAAAGGCAAGAGAGACATGGACAAGAAAATTTGACTTTTTGTTAGCTTGTACTGGATTTTCTGTGGGACTTGGAAATGTTTGGCGTTTTCCTTATCTCTGCTACAAGAATGGAGGCGGTAAGTTCTTTTTTAATTTTTAATTTTATTGCATATTGAGAAGTTACATGTTTCGGTATACAACGAAGCAACATTTACTCGTATTTGTTTATATGAAAAAAGAAAAGAAAAGTGTACTATTCAAGTTAGCAAAACAACTTCGGAAAATTTACTTCTGTTAGGAATATGCAATTTAATAGAAAAACAAAGGATATGGGTATCAATCCATGACACAAAACCAGTACATGCACAGTGAAAAACACACGAAAAAGCCAAGAAACAGCGTTTTTATTGCTGTTCTTCGTCTCTATTTTATTGTATGTTATGAAGTATCGTTTATACTATGGTTCACAGAAAACATTCTGCAAAGATAGGAAGTAGGAATCAGAAAGAAATGAAAACATTTGCACATATACAAAACTTGTATTTGAAAGTGTGTACAGGCTTTAAATGCTTTTAATGCTTAAAGGATACAGATTTTCCAATTTAACTAATCTGCTTTCAATTGTAAACATAATCAGAAAAAAAATATAAACAACAACAAGTATCAGAAGATTTATTTATCATAATGTTACGAAAAACTAATCGGGTGTCGGCTGTTAATATATACGAGTATGTTCATACAATAACAAATCACTGAATGGAAACGCAAAGACTTACCTGATATCACCTTGCAACTCTTATATTAATATGCGTTTGTGAATGTTAATTTGTCAAGGCTTGTAAACACGCAATATTTAGTTTAAAAAGAACCATAAAGCCGGCCATACCATGCGGATTAATATGAAATATCCATGGGGACAGTATATTAGGCATATACCGTACTATATAGATATATTAAAAAAAACAACATAAAAGGCAAAATATAACACAAAACGTAATAACAGAAAAGGCCCTGAATTGTACCATTTTAAATGATTTTTTCTGCAAGTTATATTCAATAAATAAGACAGCACAAAGTTTTAGCGATAATGACACTCGAATGATATAGCTATACATGAAAAAAACGATGACTGAGATAAATTAGAAGTTTCAATCACATTTTTAAATAACCCAAGCGTGTTTCCCTAGTCTCTTTATGGCTTGAAGCCGCACTAGGGATGGTGCTAATGTAGCATCAGATGCTTACATTGTCTGGACATTGTCTTATTTCTTTGTGTGTTTTCTTTTCCTATTTTACTCAAAAATCATTTTGTTGCAAATTCTGAAGCAAGTCTTTATCTATTTGTTTTCGCAAGTACCTCTAGTCGTGCATTGCCTTTGATTATGTATTTTCAGCATACATTGATGCAGGATTGCTGTTTTTGTATGGCAGTCCAAATTTACCTCTTATTCTATCCTGACCAACCTACCTACTTGATTCAATGCTTCATTTTTTCTCGTTTTAAATATACATGTACTATTTGCCACTTGGCGTTAATAAATCAGTTGTAGAAAGGTATAAAATCTTTTGCTTTTCCAACGGAGATTTACTCAGAATCCAAACGGACATGACTATAACAATCTTTCTCAGTAAGAAAAAAGAGCTGTTGAAATAAATAAGGTAATGTTCATGGTTTTCAAAAAATCTTTAATCTATTTTTTTTGTCAAAAAAGGACAATAATAATTTATAACATTGGTAGACGAGTCTCGGTCGGAAACTTGATAATCATACATACTTAAATAGTGTAGCTAGTTCATAACGTGAGAGAAAAACTAGCTGAAACGACCAAATTTAACTAAATCTAATGGCTTTATTGTATATATTGTTACCTATGGGTCAAATTTGCATTGTTCACGTTATTTATTTAGTTGTATAAAGGGTGATCATTCGAACTGTGACGGCGGATTTTTAAAGCAAACCTTGCTTTATAAGATAAGATAATCTTTATTTCAGACTCAAAAGGTCCATTTATATATACATGACACAAAATATTCTGTTTAAACAGGATACATTATAAAAATATTTAAAAGTATTGACAAATGAATAGATACATAACTAGTTATACATCCGAAACACCATATATGCATTATATTCTTTATGTCACTTGAATGTGACATACTTAACTATAAATACATTTCAAAGTGTTGTAACTGCATTGATTGAATTATATATCGTGCTTTTTGAAAAATCAATAAGTATGTACAGCACTTACACCAAGATATTTAAAAGGACTCAAGTTTCATTGAAATTAAATCTTTTGTAAATTTCACTTGTATCTACGATATCTTTTTATTGTCAAAGCATAATTATAAAAACAAGTCCTTCATTGTCTTCAATGTAAGTTTTCATTGTATTCCATAAGTCTTTTAATAGTGCTAGATTCATTATATAGTTCAAAATAAATTTTATAAATGCATTCTTTATGAAAGAGTTATTAATCAACGGTTTAAAAAGAGGTCATACTAGCTTCAGTGATTTATTTTACAAAGACAACGTATAAGGAAAGTACTAAGTCAACTCAATACTATCACATCCATCTAGATCTGTAAGGGAGCTACCATTTGATTTTTATGGGGGTGGGGGGCTAGGATGAAATTTGAAAAAAATAGGCAGGACAGGAGTTTTGAGGTAAAAAAATGCAGGATGAGACACTTGCAAAAAAAAAGTCAGGATGATGACAATTTAGGTAAAAAAAAAGTCAGGATAAACTAAAAAAAAAAGGCTGGACCGAATAGAGTGAAAAATAAAAAGGCAGGACAGAGATTATAGCTAAAAAAAATGCAGGACAAAAGTTTTCATCCTAGCCCCCCCCCCCCCCCCCCCCCCCTTAAAAATCAAATAGTAGCTCCCTAATCAAATCTATAATGTATAGGAATCATGCTACGCAGTGAATAAAATCTTATTGTTATCGTGACAGCTACGCAGTGAATAAAATCTTATTGTTATCGTGACAGCTACGCAGTGAATAAAATCTTATTGTTATCGTAACAATCCATTATGATAAAAGTGCAAACTAAAGTAATTTTGACATTACTTGTTACTTTAAAAAGATTTTTTTCATGGATATTTATCTCACGTATATGTATTCAGCTGATTGATGATTGCCCCATTTAATCTGTAAAGAGAGGGATAATTCCGCTAAATTCAGTTTACACGGAGACCATTTTCAGAACTTTTTAAATCTTCACCAACATTTACAGTATCACAGCTTAAATGTGTGCGTTCTGTTGTATTTCTGAACATGTTACCAAATTATAAATTCAAAAAGGTTACCTGAATCTGCTATATGCTTTTGAGTATTTTCCCTAAATGTCTTTCGTGAATATTCAGGGTATCACCCAAAAATATTTAAACATCTGTTTGGCTCAGCATGTTCCTAACTGATGGGTAAATGTAGGAAGGTGCATCGAAAGCTTCGATTGATTTGGCACTATAGCTACTGCTCTGTTATAGTTTGAAAGAACCCCAATTATATTCTTATGATTTGCCAGTTAGTAAGGTACAACTGTGTTTAATCTAAAATATAGATGAAGTTGTTTCTACGACAGTTGTAAATTACATACTTAAATTTATTATGTTTTATGAATTATACCCTATTCAAAATGGTTAATACTGAAGCTCTTGCCAAATCAAGTGGTTTTTTTTCAATATTTCCAAATTTTTCATCCTTATCCTAAACGAATTTAAAGAAAACACAAAAAACTTTACAAACTTTTATGTAACTCATAATAAACACATTTCAATTTTCAACAGACTAAGAGTCCTTAAGCAATGGTGATCATGACTGGAAGGAAACTCTTGACTTCTCATATAAAACATAGAAAAGTTAATTACCCTGGTTTTTGCCATATACATTTTCTTAATGACTATAGATAAAATAACTTAACATTTGGTGCGGCTGAGCGCTTGTCTGGTTTTACCTTCAGCAGGAACCCTTAAAACCAGAGGATGTATAAATACTTGAGGAGCTTATATCTAAAGGGGGGTCTATAGAGAATCGTCATACTAACGGTTGTATTAAATGTATTATATTTCTTAGGTTGATAAAACATATGTAATAAAGTGTGAAATGTGCAGTTTTATTCTGGTATTCACGGGAAACACTTGATTTGCACAAATGCGCGTGTTTTAAAACATGACTGAATTGTAAAGTGTGTTGCTACAGATACACTTTACAATTCAGTCATTTTTAAAAAAAAAGATGTTTAAATATTTTTGGGTGATACCCTGAATATGCACGAAAGACATTTAGGAAAAATACTCAAAAGCATATAGCAGATTCAGGCAACCTTTTTGAATTTATAATTTGGTAACATGTACAGAAATACAACAGAACGCACACATTTAAGCTGTGATACTGTAAATGTTAGTGAAGATTTAAAAAGTTCTGAAAATGGTCTCCGTGTAAACTGAATTTAGCGGAATTATCCCTCTCTTTACAGCTTAAATTCGTGTTAGGAAGCGGTAAACACTTCATAAAGGCACACTCGTCCGTTGGCCCGAATTTTACTACCGTTCCACCTCAACGCAGTTGTATACAGTATTAATTAGCGCATACGATGTATACAACTGCGTTGAGGTGGAACGGTAGTAAAATTCGGGCCAACGGATGAGTGTACCTTTATGAAGTGTTTACCGCTTCCTAACACGAATCAAGAACCAAGAACCTAAATGCACATGTTAACAAATGATGATAAACATCCTATACTTCTAGCTTTAAAATGAAATGAAAGGAAATGGTGTATTAATCCCCCCCCCCCCCCCCCCCCACCAAAAAAAAAGCAGCTGTTATTCATCTCCAAGACACAGGGATGCATTTTACATGGAGGAAATATCAAACCTAAGGCTACTGTGCAGCTGTTTTTTAAGCATTGTATCCATTTATTGTCCTGTCATAGTTTTCATATATGTTAACATGAGAATGCTACACCAGCGACGTATACTACAATTATATAATATGTCTCAGCTGGATACACGAATGAGTAGCCGAATTTCCGGTAGGTAGATACTATCATTTCAATTTGAACTTTAAAAGACTTTTTCTAGTCACAGCTCATGTTATGCCTAATAATAAATTAAACGCCGTTACAAAAATGT